TTAACATTCAACTTTTTTTTTTTTTTTTTTATAAATTACAAAAAAGTATACCACTTAATATATTTATCCACTTTGTAACGAAAAAATATATAGATAAATGGATAAAATTCATAGATCAAAAAAATTTTTTTACATCAATTGGTAAAGAACATATAGAGTTGTTTACACTGAAAAAATATTTTTTAGTAATAGAAAAAAAAAATTTTTTTTTGGTTAATAAAAAAGTAATAAATTTTTCCTTTTTTTTTAAATGAAATAAGTTTTTTGGGATTATAAATAATTTCATTTCATTTAATAACAATAGAATAAAATGCCTAGTCCAAAAAAAATTTATTTGATCAGTATTTGCAATTTACTTAAAAACAATTTTTAAAAAAAAACAAATTATGTTTGTTTAATCAGAATTTTTCTCCAAGTTCCAGATGTTTTTTAAGTTTTTTTCTGAGTAAAGATAAATAATCAGTTAGTAGTAAATAATCAGTAGAAACTATGGCTTCCATTTAATTACAAAACTTCTCTTTATTTTGTATGTCTTTTAAAACTAAATTTATAATTAAAATTTCAATAAATATGCTAAGAAAATAGACAATAGGAAAAACTTTTAAAAACAAACTAAACAGCTAACCAGGTACCAAAATTATTTTCAAATCCCGTATAATGGCTACAAAAATTAATATCTAACAAAATGTGGTATTAAGTTGAAAATATATACCTTTGCAGTATCTGGTGCAATTCCTAAACCATTAACAGGATCCATAGCAAAAGCACTGATTTCCCATGATGTGATGGTGTCTGGGATATTCTTCACAAGTGATAATTTGCCATCATTTCTAAGAAAGAAAAAAAAAAGACAAATAGAGTAAATATTGAAAGCTAAAGTGTGCTCCTTAGTGAAACACTTCCCAAAAATAGCATTTATTTCTGCACATTTTGGAAGTACATATCACAGATTATTGTAACCAGATGTTCTAGTGCAGTGTTTCCCAAAGTGTGGTACGCGTACCCCCAGGGGTACGTGAACAGTTTAGCGGGGGTACGCATTCTTATGTGAAATATCTTGCAACAAACGAAAATTTCACAAAATTTTATCTAAAAACAAAGCTAACCATGAAAATTTACGATAACGTATTTTTCTATTGGCTATTTTTTGCAGAGTTAACAGTTAATAATTTGGGGTTTGTTGTGAATTTTAACTTTTGAGCATTTTTTAATTGTAAAAATTACATTCATTTTTTTTAGTGTCACACAGCGTTACGAAAAATTTAGAAGGGGTACACAGAAGACAAAAGTTTGGAAAACACTGTTCTAGTGTGATACTAAAAATAACAATTGCTTCAAATTTTAACATTCTTAAAACAAATTTTGTAAACCAGAAAACATGATTCTAAACCAATTTAATAGATTTATGAAGTTTATACACAAAAATGTTAAAATTTAAAAACAAATTTTTGAAATTAAGTTTAAATAGGTACAAACGAAATGAACATGCATTCAATAATTTATAGTTTAAAAAATTACATTTAAGTATAAAACTAACCCAGCAGGCAAGAGATCCCATATCCAAGTTTCAGGGAAATGTTTTCGAACTCTCGGTTTAGATCCTTTTCCATTGCCATGATCATAAAGCATTGTGTCAACAGCATTTAATTCATCTTCTATTGCTCCTAAAAAAGATCTGTACATAACAGAAATTCAAAAGTTTTTAAGTTATACAATGAAAAAAGGAGTAAAAAAATTAAGATTAATTCTTTATAAACCAGAAAGTTATTTCCTCAAAACATGAAGGTATAAACTATGTATTACAAAAAGTTTAAAATAAATATTTTAAATAAACACAAAAAAAAATTTTAAAGTTTAGAATATTTACATTAATTGCTAAAAGTAAACAAAAAAATAACAGAATTATTAACAAAAACTATTGGGTTATAAAACATAAAAAATATTTCAAATGGAGGATAGTTTTTCAGCCAAATATAAATCTACATTTTTAGTATTTCTATTTGTGCAGTACACTTTTTGATAATAATTTTTCTGCATTCATGATAATAATTAAAAAATATGTGCATTACCTAACACCTTAATAAAATTCTTAACCATTTAAGCTTCAGTTTAAGATTTTTCCAAACTTAAAGCTGATTACATCTCAACAACAAAAACAAGTTTCTCTTTGAATTAATCAATGATAAAGTAACATTCTGCGCAATTTTATACTGAATCATCTATAAAAAAATATTTCAAGTTTTGAAATAAAATAACTGATGTAATAATAAATTTTGAAAAATAGTACAAATATACTACAGACTAAAATTTTAATTTAAAATTAGATAAAGTAAATTAAAAATAGAGAAAAAGTAAGAAAAAAAATACTTACATCAAATACATCATGAGCAGTTGTAGATCCACCACAAAGATCTCTTTTTGCGATAATATGGACCATATTGATACCTCTTTTTTCCTCCATCATAGGTTTCTAATTCAGTAATGACCTAAAAAAATTTTTTGAATTATAATAAATATTAGTGTTTAACATATTGATACATCAAGCACAGAAACCTCAAAAAATATAAAGATTCACAAAATTTAAGATCTTGGCAAAACAAACCATACCAAATATGGGACAGTTGCCATAGGCCTTTAAATTTTTAAAGAAAAAAATGTTCTGTGAACAGGTTTTAAATTATAGAGCTATTTTTTTAAAAAATTTACTTAAATATCACTTAATATATTCTAATAAGCTTTTATTATAAGAATTTATTTAGTCAAATACTATATTTCAGCATTTGAAGTTTTATATTTTAAAACACAATTAGAGCACCAAAAATATTAAAGTAAAAAATTCATAACACTAATATCAAATATGAAGAAATTTATGCTTACATCATTCTGAGTAATGTCATGGCCAGATTTAAGTAATAAAACACTTTGGTCAATTCCAAGGAGACCAACAAGGGCATTTGGTTTAGTTGCTCCAGTCACATTGACTGGAGCACCAGGCTTTGTTTCTTTAGCATTAGTATTGATACTGACCTACGAAAAAAATTTATTAAATTTAATAAACTATTCTCAAAATGAAACATTTTTTTAAATCATAAATTAATGCATAAACTTACCGGAGTTCTGAATGTTCCAGATACATCAAAATTCACAGCATCAGCGACAATTTCATTATTTTCAGGTCTAACATAAAAAACAACAATCCTTGCTTTGGGCGCCATTTTGTGAGTAACAGGTATGTAGAATCTGTAGGTTTTAACATTAGGAACATCAATAGCACCAGCCAACACAATGTCTCCACGTCCTAAAACCTATATTTAAAAATTTAACTTCAAAATTAATAAAGCATTTTTTTAAAAGATAATCTAATTTTTTAAATATTTTCTTTGAACATGCTTAGGAATACTGTAATAATTTCTGTGAGAAAGAAAGAACCCTCACAACTCAGTTTCATTAACTCTGATAGTTTTATAAATAAATTTTTTCAAATTAGTAAAACCATGCCTCCACCTAAAAAAAATCTTAAATAATCAGATCTGGGAATAATAGAATTTCCAGAGATTAATTTTTAAACCTTTTTCTCGATATGCTAGATTAGACTAAACAAATTCCAGTAATAAACTAATTGTTTTCTTATACCACTAGCCAATACCAGCAAACTATTTAATTCAAAGAGGTGCACTTAATCTTAGTTTCCAGTGATGCTATCTATGGACAAGAACACATACATCACAGCCAGTTTTACAGGGAGGACTCATTCACAAGTGAATCATCCAAGCAAACTCTAGTAACTATTAATAATACTTATTAAATAAAAATATGAAATCGGGATTTTTTTAAAAAGTTCTTTAACTTTTAATTTGTCACACAAGACTGCAGCACAAACACTTAAGAGTCAACAAAACAAAATTAGATAACCATTAAAATTACCTCATATTCAAGTTGAGATAAAGGCTCCATAGCATTCACTTCCAACTCAACTTCTTTATCAACAGTTGGGTTTTCAGTTCTCAACAGCACTTGAATGAAGCTGTTACTTGGTGACATTGCTGCTTCAACATTATCAAGATTGTAATCAAATCCTCTAAATTCAGCATTCATGCTTAAGGAAGATGCATTGGTGTTGATGGGGGGATAGAAATCCACACTAAGCAAACCATTGTTGGGCACTGCAATTCGAAGAGAGTCCCATTGGCGCTCATCATAAGTGTATCCATTATTAAAGTAAGAAAGCAAGAAGAACGTATGCTGTTAAGGCACTCTTGCTTCCAGAACCTCCCTAAAAAAAGATTAAATAATTAATATCATCTTAGATTGATGAGTTTTGTATAAAACCAAAAAAGCTGAAAATAGAAATCTAAAAATTTTATGTGCAAAACATTTTCTAAATGGTTGAAAAAATACATGAAATTTGAGCAAGAAAAAAAAGATGTATCAATAAAATATTATGAACGTTTTGATAAAAATTGTCCATGTAGGATTTATTATTTATTTTAAAATTCTGCAAAAACAAATCACAATGTGATTTTTAAGTTATGTAAATATGAATCCCAATGTGTGATTTTCAAATCTCTTGAATATGAATCATTGTTTAAATGATGCATGGTTTTTATATTGCATGGTTGAATCTATGTGATTTTTAATTTGCGTGAATATAAAATCTCAATGGAAAACTTAAAACAATGTGAATATGTGACGTGATTTGTAGTTTCAAATTGCATGCAATTTCTAATTCCATTAATATGAATCACAATGTGTAATTTTAAATCTCGTGAATTTATTTTAAATAGCATTTACATAAATAGGAGATAGCATATAAAATTGAAATATTCTTCAAGAATTTGAAAAAACAGAAGTTTTTTTTAAAAAAAGGGGAATTTTACATTTTATAAAAATTGAAAAAACGGAAATTCTTACAAAAAGTGGAAAAAATGTCATTGTGCAAAAACACTTATTTTATTAATGAAATTATTACATTTTAACACAAATTTAGTATTCTGCTATGCACAAACTGCTAATTGAAATAATCTCAAGAACCAATGTCAAATTTCTTTAACAAATACGGAGAAATTTGAGAACATACAGGTAAACAGGAGATAGTTGTTAAATACAGGAGTCTTCAGTAAAAAAAAAGGAGACTTGGCAGGTATGAATTTAACAAATTTTTCAAATAAAGTAAAACAGCACTTAACATTTGAATGTTTAAGCTAACAATAAATCTAATCATTCACACATTTAAAAACATTGTTATCTAATTGTAATAACATAGCATGTTTTTTGTTCCACAATTCTTTTAAGAAAATTAAAACCTAATATAACCTCAACAGTAAAAAAAAACTGCTGTTCCGATTTTTAAAAAATTCACCAGATTTTGCTAAATTATAACTCACCATGTACTTCCATTTTTGTCATTATTTTACTTATTACATTACTTTTTTTTCACTTTGTATCTTCACGTTTTTCACACGGTTATCGTTATATTAAAATATTTTCCAAAATTTAAAAGACAAATTTCGGACAAATGTTACTTGTTAAAATTATTTTTGGTTTTAATATTTTATATATCCTCTTAAAATTTGGAAGAAATAATCTGTATGATTGTGAAAGACTACAATTATAAATCTCTGCTTCTGAATATCCTAAAAAAAGCAAACTTAAAATTTTAAAAAGATAGAAAAAATACAAAATTTTTTTAATAGAAACATAAAATCTATGTGGTAAATTTCAAAGTTACTCAAGTTTTATTCTACAAAAAATATGCAAATAATTCTGCATACTTTTGAATATTTTTATAGGAAAAGTAATCAATCTGGACCAGTTTCACAATCTGGATAAGAGTTCCTAAGACAGTATGATCCCTCTAATTTTTATTATATATCAAATAGTTTCTTCATGTTAACATTCAACACATAAATGTCAAAACAAAATGCTTTTGTCTTTGCCGCAAATGAAGAAACATTAAGTAGTCAGGAACAATACAGCATTTACTACTGAAACACCTTGAACTTATCAAAATTACTATTGGCATATCGGATTGTTTATGTCATTTATAATTATATTAGGAATATTTTTACTGGGATATTTATTCATCTGTATAAGTGACTTGCTTTTTGCAAAAGTTAAATTTCAAGTTGGCCCTTTTCAGTTATTTTGGATGTGCCACAGCCATGTAGTAGCCAATATTAAAAAATTTATTATTTTAATTTTCATTTTTGGTGCCGGCACAGGTACAAAAAATCTACCAATTACATTTAAGTAAATATATTTACCAATAGCAGAGAGAGATACTTTTCCCGATCCAGGCACAGCCTTCTCTGGTCAACTAAAATATCTTTATTAAAGGAGTGAGGAGCTCCTTCAGACTCAAAACCAAAAATTTTTTTTAAATTAACAAGTTTAACATTTTTATCATTAAGCTTTAAAATTTAAATTTTTTTCCTGCTATATTTTAAATATAAAAACTGTAGAGGTGAAAGTTAAGTATGATATTATAATATACATCTACTTTTGAATATTATTTTTTTTAAGTTATAGCAAAAATAAAAGTAATATTATAGTAATATTATAGTATAGTTAATATAGTATAGTTAATATTATAGCAAAAATAAAAGTAAAAGTATAGTTATGTCTTTAAATTATTTTTATTCATCTATGTCGTAGAAGGACGCAATTTTAATTTTTTTACGGTCTTTGTGAGCTATTAGCTCAAAATTATTAGGGCCAACAATAGTGGTATATTTGCGCGCGGTGAATGTTTTATATTCTATGTGAATATTTATTAGGGCCTCAAGATTAAGCTTAAAATAATTCAATTCTGTCACTACTCCTCCTACAGAACCGTGTTTAACAGCATGTGCACACGCGGATAATTTGGATTTCCATAAAGGAAAATCCTTTAAAAACCGTTCATCTCTATACATAACAGATAATGATTCATTTAAAAATAAAAATTTCGTTACAAGAAAATCAAAAAAAAAATCTTTTCGAAAATTTTCTTTAATTAGTTGAAAAGAATCTTCATTTCTAATTATTTCGTTACAGTAATATTTCGAAAAATTATATAAAATAAAATCATTGTACACTCTTGAACGCGCTTTTATATTCAACTCATCTTTAAAATCAAACTTATTAATAGTTTGAGCATTAAAATTTTTTATAATTTTAGATAAGACCTTATCATTTTTAACGATTTGATAGATTTTTTTGTCAAATTTTAAACACTTAGTGTGATATAGTTTACTGACAATCATTTTACTTTTAAAATAATAAATTTAAAAAAAAAACTATATAAAAATTTAATCTTTTTTCGTCGTTATATAAAAAATTTAAAAGACAAAAAAAATTTCAAGATATATAAAAAACAAACTAATGAAAATTGGATTAAAAATTAGCGCATTAGTTATTACTTAAGCATCATAATAAAAATAAATATATAATATGTAAATTCAGTTTTTCAAAAAGAGAGTTGAGTTGACTTTTAACGGAAACACTTTTTTCCCCAGGCAATCAGGATTGATTTGTTCTTTTACGTCGCACTAGAGCTGCACAATGGGCTATTGGCGACGGTCTGGGAAACATCTCTGAGGATGATCCGAAGACATGCCATCTCAATTTTGATCCTCCGCAGAGGGGATGG